CCTACACGACGCTCTTCCGATCTCCCCAAAACCCCAAAACCCCATGAATAAAGAATATGTAGCAAGGATTAACAAAAATAATTACTAAATAATCATAAAAACATTTTAATTAATATGATTTAGAGCAGGAAATCAGAATAATTTACGATGTAGTACTCTTCAGATGATATGGATCATGAGGTGCTAGATCAACAAAGCTTTATAAAAAATGCTTAAAAAAACAAGACAGAGATAATTGAGATATTGGATTAAATTGAAACTTAATTAAACGATGAGAATACATTAAATCAAGAAGAGTTTGTGGAAATTGTTAAGCAAAGCTCAGTACTAGAGAAGTTAAGACAAATAACGGTATAATACAAGGAAATTTTCTGATCTTAATTTATAGGACCAATGTAATACAGACTATATCAGAGAAATTCTATTGGAGAAAGATCAGGTTTAAAAGAACTACAGTTTAGCCTTAACAGAGGTAAAACATATGATTTTGACATATTAAGCTTTCCAAACTCGAATTAAAACTCTATGAGTTAAAGAATCCCACTAAAAATTCCTTTATTTTCTAAGTTTAAAGAGACAACAAGTCTAGATCATTTGTAGAGAAAAGCAAATTCAGCAAAAGCTTCAAGCCTTAATGTAACAAAGACTATTAAGTTAATTACATCCTTTTTATAGACAATAAGCAAATTGAAAATAAAAGTTTATCTGATCTGTCCTCATAAGAAATGGACCAAGATAAGGATTCTGATATTTTTGAAGAAGACTCAAATCCAATGAAAATTCAAGAAGACCAGATCGATCATTTAGTTAGCCAGTGTGATGATTATGAACATCAGCTAAATATTTTGAGTGCCAAAAACGGCAGAATGCTATAAGACTTGGAGGAAGCTATTTAATCTAAAATTGAGGCTGAGTAAAAATTTTTCTGCAGTTTATTAATTAATATAGGAAGCTATCCCTCTAGTATTATGATTAATTGAAAGCTCAGTATTTAATCAATGAGTAACTGAAATCTGAAAAACTTAGAATTATTGAGGAGCAAGATGAAATGAGAGAACAAATGGATTAGATGCTCTAAAACAATATGTAGAATAGGGATTAAATTCTATCATATGAGAAAAACATGACAATGGCTAATTAAGAGCTACAGACCCTAAGGCAAGACAATGAGTATTTGAAGGAGAAGCTAGATTAGATGTGTGAACAATAAGATGATCTTTATGATACTATTGAGAGATACGAGACAGAATACTAATTCAAGATTGATAATCTAAACAAAGAAGTTCACCATTTGAAATAAACTAATCAGTAACTGGAGAAGTTGGCTTTTCGAAATCCTACTTCAGATCAAAACTTAATAAATATTCATGGTTGCAAATTGCAAAAACATCTTAGTGCTCATAGTTCATAGTTCGGTAACTTAACTAGTTCAAATGGATCTTAAAGATTCCAAACTCCAAAGGCTGCAAATGAGCATAATGGTAGTAAATCAATAAAATATTGTGATTTGCAAGTGATTGACCAAGATGAGGTCAGTAGCGACAAGAAGATTTACAATTATATTGATTCACAAAATAATAAAGCGCTTAATGAAGAATTTTAGGCTTTTGATAATGAGTACTTTAGAAAATAAGATTGCTTTTAGTCAACATCTGATTTGAATTAGGAGATTATGTTAACTCAAGAACATAGGAAATCAACTAACATTCAAGAGGAAGATGATTATGATAAAAGTCAAAGCGATAATGAGTCTAATGCCTTGCAGAGATATACTGATACCTATGACATTAATGAAAATGAAGAGGCAAAAGATCAAGATACTGGATATTTCAATGAAAACAACTAAATGTAGCAAATAAAGTAGCAATATTAAGAAGGGAGAAATTGTAGTGATATGTTTAATAATTTAACTCAGGAAAGAGATGAGTTACATGCAAGCAAACTTAGTTCATGCTACTTGCTTTAAGATAAAAATACAATTCTGATTGAAAACTAATCTGAAATAGAAAATAATTAGATAAAAGCGACTTAAATGCTATTTCAGCATTAGAAAATGCTAAGTTAAAATGATGTAAATCTAAAGAATATTTAAAATGATAACTAAGATAGCCTAAGAGTTCCATAATAGAGGTTTAGCTATCAATAACTTTAAATCAGAACTCATACTCCTATTGACATAAGAAACACTGACATAATGGAAACTGACTAGCACAGCAATAACAACACAAGCTTTTGTAGATTATCATTATCGAAAACTTCTGAAATTGACTCTTAATTCCTGAAATAAATTTCAACAAGACCTAGCAGTGGGGGCAATATAAATCAGTTTAAGAATAATTTACATTTGAGAAAGCCACTCTTCATTGGCAATTTTCATTATCAAGACGATTTAACTTAAAATAACCCTGAAGCCAAAATAGATTAGTTTAACCCGGATTAATAATTTGAGGTAAATGATTATTGTGATAAAACACCAGTGAAGAAAAGCATCTGTTATAAATCAATTGGCATATAATACGATGAAGATGATACTAATGATATGTCAATGTTTCTGAAAGAAAACTATTTGAATGAGAGATTCCCAACTATAATAGAAGATGAAAATAAGAGTATGAAAAAGGATAATACTGATGTGGACAGAAGAATCATGAAAGCCTATAATGCCAATAATATAAAGCATTTCACAGATAAAAAGCCATAAAAATCTACATCTCACAGTATTTAAAAAGTCAGCAGAAAGTATGATAACAATTATGGGAATAGAGGCTGTTGTGTAAGTGGATCTCCATCTCAAAGCGGTGAAAATTGTAATATATTTTGATTGAGATACAAAAAGGTATTAAAGCTGAATTTAACTTATTAAATGATTTAGTGTTTTGCATTTGAATTCTTAAATATTTCTAAGAAAAATATCAATTGGGGTTTTGGGGTTTTGGGGTTTT